TCCCATCTGACGTTGCACAAAGAGCTTCGGGCTGGTTTTAGGTTTTAGATGTTGAGAGTTTAAACGTTCATGCTTGCGGACTTAGAGAGTTACTCTAACGGCTTTGGAGCTTTGTGGCTAGTGGGGCTGTAGCATTGACTTTCTCACGGCTTCAAGTTCAACGTAGAGTTTAAGATCTATAGGGTCTGCTGTATTCAGGCATCAGGGTCGGAGGACTTTGGTAGTTCTAGGTTAGTACTTACTCCGGGCCGACTTCTGGCCCTCATGCAATGCAGTGGCTAGTTTGCAGCTCGATAAAATTGCCAGTTGTATCTGTTCTGATGATTTCGTTGCTCCATTCCAACTTTGCTACCGCGGCTTTATGGTTGGGTGAACCCCTGTTCTAAATGATTAAGGCCCCATCCGGTTTCTTTGCAGCACTCTGCTTGAGGATGCCACGGCCCACATCATGGAGCCGCTGGTGATTCCCCCGGAGCAAAGATGTTCTTCAACAGTCCGTAGTAAAGCTGAGCTGAATTCTGTAGTGATACTAGAATATACCCGCCCTTGAATTTATCAAGGTTCAACATAAGAAGTAGCACCCCAGTTCCTTGATAAAAAGGCCAACGATTCCGGGTTAGGGCTTAGGAATTGGGATTCAGTAGGAATTAGTATTCAGGGTTTGGGTTTTTCAAGTTAGGGTTCAGGAAAGAAGGCTTAGGGTTTGGGATCTGCGGCCCAAGTCTATACACACAGTTTGAATACTTGGAATGCTAGGGTTGTGTTATTTACACCTTGAAGTTGCAGCCACGGAAATAGCAAGATCCTTACCAGGATCCCCCCTGCAAAGGGAATCAGGGAACCCCAATTTTGCGAAACCCAACAATAGTACTGTACAGGGTTACAAGGGGGAAAGGCTTCGACCCAACTGTTTGCAAAGAGGTGAAAGCCCTTAATCGGGAGATCCCCTGACGAGAAATCTTGAAGCAGCCTGGAGTGGTTTTCGACAAGTACGTCGAAGCCGCGCGCAAGGAGCACGAGCAATGGGGCACTTGGGCACCAGCCCGAGCCCTTAGTGACAAAGAAGCAAATGAGCTCCTCAAGGACCCGCTTCTGAGAACCCGCGTTCTCAAGTCAAGCGCGTGCTACCGCGACAAAGCGTGCGGCCAAGGCGCTTTTGCAGGCCAAGTGCCGTGTGGTGTTCCTTGGTCACCGTGATCCCGACCTTCACGCGATCAGCAGGGACGCACCAACGCCGGCTCTCCAATTTCAATAGAGAGAGTTCCTTGTCTGTGTTGCCCTAAGGCCCTAAGGCTCCCTGTACTCATATGCTATATACCTGGGCCTTTAAGGGAGTCCTATACAGGTACTTTGAGGCCTAACTGTATACTGGGCCTTAACAGTTGCAATAGGGTCTTGGGAAACATCATGCGCTCACTGGCCTGTACTTGGGTAGTTGGCAAAATTAGGGTCCCCTTTTTGGGTACCCTGAGTGATAGGTGCCGTATTATAATCGGGACCCAGAAAGGGACCATAAATTTCACAATCACCCATTTGTTTTAATTCTGGACTTTAAGGGTCAATCGATTGAGTGTTTATGCCGACCCTTCTGTATGTAAGTTGCAGTATGCACCTTGCCCGTTGAACTGTTGAAGTATACGCTGTGAGGGTCCTCTACTATTTATGGTAAACATTGCTTGTGCACCCCGGGGCTAACCCTCAATCCCAAACTCCAACACCTAAGTGCACCCAACTCCCACACCAACCAAAGCCCCAAGGGCAAACTCCGAACCCCTACACCTACACAGGAACACCCCCAACTCTAAATCCCAAGTCCCAAACCCTCTAAACTATCAAGCCCTAAACCCTGAGCATATAAGACCTGCCAGAAAGCCCTAAACCCCTAAACCCCTAAACCTTAACTCTAAGCCCTAAGCATTGAAGACCCCGCCAGATGACCATCTCCGGTATCATCTTCTACCCCATCGGTTTCCATGCCGCGCACCACGGGTGCGCCATGGAACCGGGGACCTATGGTTAAGGGTTTGTAGTGTTTCAGGGTAGTTTAGGTTGTTGGAGTGTTTTGTTTTACGGTTTTGGGGTTTAAGGGCTAGGACCCAGAGTAGGCCCTTATTCCCTTTTTTTGAGGGTTCAGGTTCCCTTATAAGCCCCTTTAAACTAAAAAGGGCACCCTTTTTATTCCTAGGTTACTCTTGGGTCTAGAGGGTGTTTAGGTTTTTTTATGGGTTAGGGTTTTAGGTTTTCTTTGGGGGGGGGCTCTTGGGTTTGCGGCTGCCTTGTAGGGTTCAAACTGTTAACGGGCAATGTCCCGATCAGCCAAGTAACTTAATAACGACATTGATAGAATCATTCTGTTTGCATGAGGATGCATCATGCGGAGGGTTGTCCATTGAGAGCACGGGTACTGGTTTGTTGAGGTGCTCCAGTCAGGTTTGCACGCGGCCGGAGCACTTGGCCTGCACCGCAATCTATGGCGTCCAGGACACCACGAAACAACTGCAACTCCTAAATACCCACCCAAGCCCTAGAAACCTAGGGCTTGGGTGAACCATCATCCGTTGCGGTTTTGTGTTGGAGTAATAAGGGAGCAGCAGAAGGTACTTGGGGGTTTACGGGGGTGGACGATGGCAAAGCTTCACCGGCGTCCCTGTGTCACCGCGCGGCCCGAAGCTCTGAGATGCAAGATCCTACAGTTCTACAGTCTTATCTGGGCATACTTGTACTGTTTAACTTTAAGGGGTCATCCCATAAGACAAGTATAAACTAGTAGAAGGAGTTATAACCTCCTGTTTTGCAGGGATTAGGCTGGCATAAACCTCGTACATCCTAACCCCCATATCATCCCATATCCCGCTAACGATCCGACAACGCCGAACCCCTCCTGCCCCAAACCACAAGCCCCTGTCCGTGAGCAGCTCCAACACAGACACTGAACCCCTATATACTCTGAACCTGAACAACCCTATGCGCCCTCTCAGAAAGCTCCGAAGCCCTGGACCCCAAATCCTGAAACTTGACACCCTAAACCCTGAAATCCTGACACCCTGAAACCCTAAACCCCTAAACCCTGATCCCTGAACCCCCGATACCCTAAACCCATAAACCTCGAAAGCCCCTCAAACCAGATCCAGGTATGACATTGAGATGAAGCGCTTTGCGCTCTACCTCCTCGCATGAAGCCAAGATTCGACCTCGTTTTGTGGCGTATCCTACCGGGCAAGGTATCCATATGGGTATACTTTGACCTGAAAGCACCAAATATAGGGACTACTTTGAGGCCTATATTGCCTATATAAACACATGTGTGCATTATATATATATATACATATATTTATATTTATATATATATATATGTATGTATGTATGTATGTATGTAGGTAGGTATGGGCTTAGGTTTCGATGAGAGCAACGGGCCAACATCAGGGGTGGCAAGGTCGTTCTCTCGAAAAGGGTGGCTTGTGAATTTTTCCCAGGGCTCCATGTACCTATGTAGCATAGACTTTTGCCTTAAAGTGGTTCCTGCAAAGGCACTCTACGGTATATACAAAATAGGCGCATGGTGCCTCGTAGGATTCAGAGATCCGGTTCATGTGGCTAAGAGCTTAGAGGCTTTGCGGTGTAGGGTTCTTGTGGCTTAGAGCTTAGAGGCTGCTGCGATGCGCCTTCACAATACATCCTAGCCACTACCCAGAGCTTCTAACACACCTTAATTAAGGAGTATACATTAAAACATGTTAGGGATCCTCTTACAAGTTAGGCTGTATTCCTTAATTAAGGGGTTTTGGAGTTTCTGGGCACTACTTGCCTATGTTATCAACCTAAGAGCTTCGACCATATGTCCATGCAGGCTAGACACGCTAAGCCCCAGAACCCTTCCTCCCTGCGAACCAGAACGAAACCCTAACAGCCACTAGGATTGCAATGGTGTCAATTTGGGGTTCCACAATCTAACGCACCCAGTGCTGTTTCGAGGGTGTCCCTAAACCGTAAGCCCTAACCCCCAAACACAAACCCTTGCCCAAGCCCTGCACAGGGCCATCGGGCTAAGGCCTTGTTCACTTTGGTGATTGAGTTTCTACCTTTCTACCCATATGGGAGTTCACGAAAACTCGGGGTACCGTATTTTGGGGGTCCTCATAAGAAGGATCCTACCCTACTATTTAGGGTACTATGTTGGGGTCCCCTGTTTTCGGAAACTCATATTGCCCAGCAAAAACGGGCCCGTCACTCAGGTGTCCCACTCCCATTGTTTACATGTCTCGAGTGTCTTACAAGTTGTTCCTTTCCCTTCCGAAAGTTGTTAACATGTGCTAACTTTGATCTGTTGGGTTTCGGGAAAGTAAGTACAAACGCAGGTCTATGACGGCTCGAAGCGGGTGGTAAAGATCAAATCTGAAGCCTTCACTATAGAGTCTAACTATTCAAGCCCATACCCCCTTAAACGAACAGGGCAACAGAAGTGTCGCACATGGTCCAGGCACATATACAACACATATGGGTGGTTGTCAAAATTAAGGTCCCTGATTGGGTCCTTAATATGATACGGCACCAAATATTTAGGATACCCAAAAAGGGACCCTCATTTTGACAACCACCCATATGTCGGCCCTGAGAATCACAAAAGGAAAATACCGAGCTGCACATGCACGGTTCAGGATCTTGTGTTATAGGCGCTAAGACGCCATGTACCTACATATACCATAACTTAGGCCTTAAAGGGGTGACTAGTTACAGAGGCACTAGACGGCCCGGGTATATATACTATTCAGGTACACGGAGTCTTGGGGGAGTTTTGGGTTTCGGAAGTATACACCCGTTTGTTACAGGCTCAATGCATAGGGCCCGGGAAGCATGTGGGCCGAGAGGTATGTCTCAACATGATGATGCATGGAGATCCGGTGTAATTAGGACATCCCTTTGGGGCTTTGCTGCGATCGGTTGACTGTTTGAATCTGGTTCGTTGTTGAGACATACCCGCCCTGGTAGAAGCGGCGAGCAGCATGGAGTGTTCAAGCTGCCGGGAGATGTGCTCGCAGATTCGAGAAGTGACATCGCAGAATATCCCAGCCCATGAGATTTTGAGGAAGGTATACTGGATCGTCAACCTACACTGGCGCTGGCGTGCAACTGAAATCTCCGACTTCGATGATGCCGGCAACAACTGGCATGCCCTTACCTGGTACAGGCCAGTATATTTCCACATCAGTTTCTCTAAGGCTCCATGTACCCATATAGTATGTGCTTGGGCCTTAAAGGGGTTCCTATACATAGGTACTTTGAGGCCTAAGCGTATACTATATGGCTACGTGGAGCCTTAGGGTTTGGGTACGTTTTGCTGATCCGTTAGGTTGAATGCTTTTGTTGGCTGGTTTAGGGTTCAGGGTTTTGGGTTCCTTATCCCTTACTTGAGGAATCTACCTTAAATCATATGAGGGATCCTATTATATATTAAGGTATATTCCTTAATTAAAGGATATTGGAGTCTCTGGGGTACAAGACTCCTTGAGCCATGAGTTATTGGGCCAGGCCAGGCATGCCCGGTGATGTGTGGGAGGAGGTGGCGCAATGGCACCTGAAGATCGCGAAGTGGGGCAGATTCAGGGGCGAACGAGCCGAGGATGGTCGTTGATAGTTGAAGGGCAGTTCTGCAGTTTCGGTTTAGGCTTTAGGGTTTGGTTGATAGGTGGGGGCAGTTCTGCAGTTTGGGGTTTAGGGTTTGGTTGATAGTTGAAGGGCAGTTCTGCAGTGTCGGTTTAGGAATTGCGGTTTAGGGTTTGGTCGATAGTTGGAGGGCAGTTCTGCAGTTTAGGGTTTAGGGTTTGGTTGATAGTTGAAGGGCAGTTCTTCAGTGTCGGTTTAGGGATTAGGGTTTAGGGTTTGGTTGATAGTTGAAGGGCAGTTCTGCAGTCTTTACAACCGGACAAGCTCCAAATCGCGCAACACCGACATGTAATTACGGACGGCTTGTTTCGACAGACCCCTATCTGAGGGGTCAGGATGCTTAGCAAGCAAGGTCATAAGTTAAGTTCAGCATGGCGTTAGACTCTGCAAGTAGAATCAAGCCTAGTTTATCACCGTATTTACTAAGTCCCATCCTCTCCAAACTGTAACTAAACCCTAGTTTGATTGAACCGACCGAAGCTCATTCCAGGCATCCCCGCCGAATGCTTGAACCGTAGTTTCACGTGCTTCGAATAGCTCTAGTTCTAGCATATTCTGGCGTGATGTCTTAGGGTGTCGGGTAGGGTTTTGCAGAGATACACTTGGTAGCGGGCTTATATACCATCTACAAAAGGTCCGGTCTGATCACACACCCTAAGGCTCCATGTAGCCATATAGTATACACTTGGGCCTCAAAGTACCTATATATGGGGCCCCAAAAAAGCACATAAGCAAAAATTAGGATAGGGATATCCCATATAAACCCCCTTATAATTAAGCCCGATAAGGTAGGGATATCAACAAAACATGCTTATGCTTATGTGCTTTTTGGGGTCCCTAATATGGGAACCCCTTTAAGGCCCAAGTATATAGGTACATGGATCCTTTTACCCTACTTATAAAACCCGTTTGGTAGCCCTTATTGTAACCCTTAAAGGAACCCCTTCAAGGCCCAAGTATATACTATATGGGTACATAGAGCCTTAGGGCCTTAGGGACACCCCTGAAGCAGCAACACTTCAAGCAGAGTTTGGCGAGGACTGCGCGGCCACCCCCATCTCGCTGGAGGAGCTCCCAACACCATAAACACCTCAGTACCTGCCTTAACCTACCAAACCCTACTTTTTTGTGGGGTCCCTTTAAAATCCACATTAGGGTTCATAATAAAGAACCTACAAAAAAGTAGGGTTTCGTAGGTTAAGGTAACCCTGAGCTTAAAACTTAAACCCTGCACCTTACCAGGACCCCCCAAGTGGCCTTTAATATAGTAGTGGGTATTCAGGGTATGGTAGAGGGTAGTTGGGGGGTGCTGGTAAACCGTAGAAGACGAAATAAAAGCTTAGTCCTATTAATCCTTAGCCTCTCTGGTTCCCTGGAGGAGCTGGCAGAGAAGCTTTGCGAAATCACCGGAAGCCTCGATTCTCAGGAGGAGCTGAAGGACCCGTGATTCAGCAAAAACTGGTCGGAATGCCCATGGTCATAGAATCCTTTAACTGCGAAGCTAAAGGCCGTAAACTGAAAGTACCTTATCATTGCAAGCTTGGGGCCTCTAGGGGGATCAGCCCGAAGATCTGTACAAACATTGGCTCATCAACCCTAAACCCTGAACCCCTAAACCTTAACCCTAAACCCCGAAGGGCTTCTACTTTCGTAGCCCTTACTTGGAGGGTCGGGGGACTTAGTAAGTAGGTAATAAGTAGACTTATAAGTACCCTAAAAGGGATCCTAGTTGGGGTAATGGTACTTATAAGTCTCCAAAATAACTAGTTACTCAGTCCCCAGACCCTCCAAGTACAGGGTACTAATCATAAAATGGCTTAAGCCAAACGAGGAGCTAGAATGCAGACTATCGGGCTTACAGTTTGGAGTTTAGGGCTTTAGGGTTTTGGCTTGGGGTTTAGAGCTTTCATGCCCAGGCAAGATTGAGCTTTGGGAAATCTGATCATGAAGCATGCATCAGCTTAGGGGCATGAAACTGTAAGCCTGCGGAGGACGCATTCTGGACGCTCGGCTGCCGCATTCAGAAGACCCTTCGAATTCTTGAGAAGGTCGAAGCAAATCAGGAGCAGGTTCTCGGTAGGGAGTGGCACGAGGGGAACCTCGTGGAGCATGTCCGCAAACTGGTCGACGATCCGGCGGTCCGGGGCCGGGAGACACTTGTAGCCGTACAGCTTGAAGACGTCCTATGGCGGCATCGCACACAGTTATCATGCAACACACTGCCCACTCCCAAGACCGAGCCCATCAGCACGGAAGGCAGCACGGTTGCAGCTCAAGATCAGCCGACTCCGCAAGAGAGGGTGTTTGCATTGGTCGTGGCCATTGCCAACGGAGAAGAGCACTGCCTCCTTCGTCTACGTCTCTCCCGTGCCATCCTTGCGGACCATAAGGCGGGAGTTCCGGAAAGCAAAGGATCCCCCCAAGGCATCGAGCCCTAAATGATAGGATTCTTATCTCTAATTCTTGACCCAGAGGGTCCATATTATGGAGTTCGGTCCCCAAAGCCATTGTTGTGATGGTCTGTTGGGGTCTAATTCCATCATGGTTGTGAATATGGACCCTCTGGGTGAGATGAGTACACCTGAATTCCTCCCGCTTCAGGTCATCAACGGCAGCAAAATAAAGCTGTCGCAAAGGAGAGCCTTCAGGTGGGACGTTTCCCCTGAGGGAAGAGTTTAGGGTTAGGGTGTAGGTTGCTTGATGAGCCCCAAGACTCTATAGATGATAAAGAATGAGTGCGAGACCGCGAGCAAGAGATTCGAACTGGAAGAGGTTTCATACAATCGAGCCACAGCATTGAAATGATCAGAAGCACTAAACTTCGCCAAATCCCATAGATCAAAGCAGAATGTGATCATGAGCGCAGCCTCTCTCGGCGAGGTTCACGACCCACTCCGGACGTCTGGTCCTGGCACGTGGTTTCAGGACCCGTTTTATGCACCCATTTTGGTTTACAGTGGCATGCAGAGCCTTAGGGTAGGATGCATGGCTTGAGAGTTTGGGCAATTTGGGGGTTCAAGGTGTGAAGGTCTTCATGATGCAGAAACATAGGGACATCTGCGTGCAGTTTAACAATATACATTCCCTTGAACACAGAAACCTGAAACCTATACCTGAGCCCCTACATCCTACACCCTTAAACTCTGAATGTAAGTAGCTGCTTGGCATAGTTTAAGATTAGTGGGATTTTCATACCTTGTCAAGTACTTTGCGCTTATGACCCACTTAACCGTGTCCCAACTTCGATTGGCTATTGGTCGGATGCGTCTACAATGGGAAGCAGTACCATATCTTGAAGATAGCATTCTTACACTCCAGGCAGTTGGCTCGAGTAGTATAGTACATGGAAGTCTTAGTAATAGTTCCCCGAGTATTACTCTAGGCTGGAAGATGTCCCTCAAACCGAACCACCGTTGCAAGCACAAAGTCCTCTACATCAAACCCTGGGCCTATGAAGCCTTCTCACACCCTATATACTCTTATAGAACCCACACATCCAAGGGTTTAGGGTTGCACCCCAAACTAAACTCCTGCAGAAGGGCCGGCAAAGGGGGTTCCGAATGCCCAAGGACTTCCTGGCCGTGGCTCAAAGCCAACTCCACCGAAGATCGCGGTGAGCCCTTGGAGGCTTTGGGTTTGTGGCTTGGGGTTTAGGGCTTTGGGTTGAGGGTTTAGGGTTGAGGGGTCAGGGTTCAAGGTTTAAAGGGAACTCCAGAAAGTTGGAATATGGTTTCAGGGTAGGATACCTTATAGTTTACCATAAAGGGGTTAGGATAATCATATTCCAACTTTCTGGCTTTTACCTTAGGGCTTTGGGTTTAGGGTTTAGGGTTCAGAGTTCATGGCTCGGGGCTTTGGGCTTAGGGTTCAGGGTTTAGGGGGTTTAGGGTTTAGGGTTTAGGGTTCAGCAGCTCCGGATCGAGCACTTCTAAAGTAGAGTTGTATTTACGGTTTAGAAATAACACCCACCCACCCTTAGAATCCCATAACATAAGCCATATAAAGTCCTTCATCATCATTCAGAGAGTTCTACTTGCAACCTAGCCTGTCACACTTTAATGTCGCTTTCCCACACCACTAGGAAAATACAACAGTTCATATTGCTCCCACAGCTGATTTAATTGTTTAAGGTTGTCGAGCTTAGACTTACCTTGGATTCTTCCAACCAACTAGGTTTGTTGTATATGTTGCAAGCTATTTATTCATAGTTAGTTGCTAGTCTTGGGCAAGCTAAACCCTAAATTCAGTCGGTGTGCGGCAGGACCTAAACCTCACAGTTATGAAATTGCCAATTAACTACTCTGGAAACATTTGCGGCTGTAGCTAAACCCTAAATTTCCTATGGTGTCAACACCGTTTCTTGCTTGTTTTAAGTAAAGCAAGTAAAAAGGCTCGCTAAACCCTAGGGCCCAAAACCCTAGGGCAGGGGGGGGGAGGGGGGAAGGGAGGGGAGGGGGGAGGGGGGAAGGGAGGGGAGGGGCGGAGGAGGGAGAGGGGGGCCCTAGGTTTTTTTTAAAGGTGCTAAAAAAAACCCTAGGCCCCACCCTGGGCCCTAAACCCTAAACCCTAGTGCCCAAACCCCAGGCCCTAAACCCTAGGCCCGATAGACCCGAAACCCTACTAGGCCCTAAACCCTAAAGCCTAAGCCCTAAACCCTAGGCCCTAAACCAGGAGTGATAAGGTCAAACCCTTAGTCGTTTAAGGTCAAACCCTTAGTCGTTTAAGGTGAAACCCTTAGTCGTTTAAGGTCTGACCTTAAACGACTAAGGCCTTAGAGCAGGCACACGAAAAGAACGGCCCTGTTTTGCTGCAGAATGTGGCCCCGACCTGACCTTAAACGACTAAGGTATTAGGGTTTAAATTATCATATGAAAGAGAGGTTTAGGGTTTAGGGGGGTTAGGGTTTAGGGTTTAGGGTTTAGGGGGTTTAGGGTTTAGGGTTTAGGGTTTAGGGTTTGGTTTGTTTGCACAGAGGCTTTCGAAGTTACTAACCTGCTGCCTGTGTTTTAGCCGTTCTGGATTTGAGGTTTAGGGTTAACCACGTTCTGGGTGCAGGAACTCAGCAGCTCAATAACCGGTTGTGCCTAAACTCAGACCTTCCAACACCACCTAATTGAGGAATATACCCTTAAATTGTAGTAGGACCCCTAATCTAATTTCAGGTATATTCTTTACTTGGAAGGTCTGGGAATATCAAGAATCTCCTCATCGTGACTGTGCCCAAATGGAGCCCTGGAGATTGTAATGAACTCCCCATGTTAAAGAGCACCGGAACCCCGAGATCCTGCTTGCTTGGAGCGTCTGCCTAGTAGTACCCTTATTCCCTTTTTGTAGTCGCAGGCTCCTTATAAAGTTACTCAATACCAAAAGAGCCCATTTATTCCTAGGTTACTGGGCATCCTAGTGAGGGCTTTCTGGCTCAGCTTTTTCAGGTTGTTATGGTCGGAAGCATTTGGGAGTTCCCGAAAAGAGGGGACCCTAATATAGTACTCCTCAGTAGTAGGATCCTTTATCATAAAGGACCCCAACTTAAGGGTACCCCCTTCTTTTCAGAAACAGCCATATCCTAATCCCAGACCGCCCGGGTTAAGCTCGGGTTTAGGGTTTAGTGTTTTGGTTTAGGGTTTATGGTTTAGTCTTTTTGTTTAGGGTTTAGTGTTTTGGTTTAGGGCTTAGGGCGAATTGTCTCGACCCGCACCCTAAGTCTGCGGTTGTAGTCTCAGAGTATGAAGTACCGATGAGTGCAACCAATGTCAGGCATGGTGCAACAAACCCTAGCCCACCCCAAACCTTAAACACAAAACCGTAAAGCCTAAACCCCAAGCCCCCGAAACCAAAACTCCCCGCAAGCTCCAAACTCGTCCAGGCCTTAGATAGTGAACGGGGGAACTTTAAGCTTTTTGGCCTTAAATTTTCTCTATCTTAGAAAGTTTGAACTTTTTGGGGCCCGGATGTGGAAGAAGAGAGAGGCAGAAGATGTGAAGTATTACAAGACAGTGGGCTCCGGACCCGAGCTCTTCGCTGTGAGTGGCCAACAGGTGGGGCAGGAAAGCGGGGATCGGGGTCCTATAGGGTTGCGGTGTTGGGTTTCTGAGGAGCTAGGGCAGCTCGTTCGTTCAGGGTATTGGGTTTGCTCTTCAGGGGCCGTCGGTCGTGGGTACATGGGGAGTTACTGTAGGGTTTAAGAGCAGACATAGGTGGTTAGACAGACAGCCAGGTCTACTACGAAGACAAGAAGAAGTGGGTTCCCTACAAGAGCTCAGTCTTACAGGAGTGGTCTGAGATACAGGATGTCAAGATCCAGTTCGACAAAAATTGGGCAGAGGAATTGAAGCGGGTCTGTGCTCAGAACGTCTACTGCAGAGTCTGCGATAGACGTGGACGAGCCCTGACGATGGAGGTAGTCGGACAGCTCCAGGATGTTCCTGTGCCCGCCGACTTTCCATTGCAGGTTATCTTTCTCGCCGCTCGGTTGCAGTAGACGGTTGCCTGGGAGACACGATCGAACCTTCGTTGTTTACTTCCGGCGTCCTAGCAAAACAGACCCACAAGAACCAGCGCGAGCCGTTGTTGTGCTCCGGTCGCTTCCTGATCTGTTGATTCCCCAAGGGTCCATGCACCAGAATCTTACATACTAAGGCCTTCAATTTAGGGCCAAAGTTTATACTCTAGGATGCCCAGTAGTACCCTTATTCCCTTTTTGTAGTCCTAGGTTCGTTATAAAGCTACCCAATACCAAAAAGAGAGGCCTTTTTATTCTTAGGTTACTGGGTATCCTAGTACTATTTGGATACAGACTCTAAGGGATTTGGGAATCACCAATGTTTCGGACTTAGGTTTAGCAGTTCCCCCCTGACCCCCCGCCTCCCCTCCAAAGCTGCCTGCCCCCTTTGCAAAATTGACGGGTGGTTTAAGGATAACGCTCTTCCCTCTAGCTTCGGTGATATACAGAGTGCGGTCAAGAAGCAGTTGCGTTCGTTCAGGAGCTTTTTTCCACAAGAAATAAGATGATATGCAGTGTCCCGGGGGCCATTTCAACAGCAACATAGTGCCGGAAATTCCCTTCTAACCTTAAACCCTAAACTTCCTAAACCCTAAACCTTAAAACCCTAAACCCCTCTTGATCCGAAGGCACGGAACCGAAAGCGTAGGAGGCCCTGGTACCCAAACCGCTACAAGATGACACGGTGCCGACTCCCAGCACACTTCAACATGAGACTCCGGCAGTCAGAAAGCCTGTTTTCGTAGTCGCGGGGGACACCTACGTACCGTGTAAATACTATACAGACAGCTCTTACTAGAATAGCCTACTAAATACTACCCTAAACCCTACACCGTGGCTCCAGCTGTTTTGCGAAATCTCGCTACACCCCCCAACATATCCCATCCTCCGAGGCATCTGCAGACTCTGCTTCTACCAGGCGGGGTGTCAGAAGGTACCCGGTGAAACGTCTCTCAAAGCCCAATGAACCTGGTTTATGCGGTCTCTTTTGTAAATGGGTTTAGGTCCTGCAGTTGCAAGCTGAGGCTTGGTTCCTGTGGTGTAGCGCCTTCTGGTGTTTATCATATCTCGAGCTGATGGTTGTGTTTTTTGTACAGCTGCTGCTGCTGCCGCTGCTGCTGCTGCGACTGCTGGCGGCGTGGCGGCGGCGGTGGTGGTTCTAGAGTTAGTCGTCGTGGTGTCGGAGGTGGTGTTAGTGGTGTGGCTGCTTCTGCTTTTGTTGACGCTACTGTCGTTCAGGTTTCTGTTGTCAGTTTTGTTTTTGGTTTTGCGTGTTGTCGGCTTTGTGGTTCAGCAGTAGCTTGGCTGTAGCTGTATGGGGACGTGTGCGGCGCTTGTGAGACATCGGTGACACATATGTGTTTTCAATGTGCCAAGACGGTGCAGTGGTTTGGGCTTTTTGGATTCAGTGATCTTGTCGTGTTAAGATTCTCTGAAGTCGGCGCCCTACAGGACTCAGCAGCGCTGGGTAAACGCCGCTGTTTCCCAAAGGGTGTAGAGTCTATATTAATATTATTAGTAGTAGTAGTAGTAGTAGTAGTAGTAGTAGCAGTAGTAGTAGTAGTAGCTATTAGTACTTACTATTATGATTATACCTTATCAAATTTCAAAAGCAATGAAACCTATGGTTTCTATGATAGGCCCGCGTGAAGGTGCATCTGCATTGGGTGCATAGGGTGCAATGGTTAGGTGCAGAGGTGCGGGTGTTAGGTGCGGGTGTCGGTGCAAGGGTGCGGGTAGCAGGTGCGGGTGTCGGTGCAAGGGTGCGGGTTGTAGGTGCGTAGGGTGCGAGTCGTAGGTGCATAGGGTGTGCGGTGTCGGTGCAACGGTGCGGGTGTTAGGTACGGAAGTTGGTGCAAGGGTGCGCGTGTTAGGTGCGTAGGGTGCGGGTCTGGGTGTAAGGGTGCGGGTATGTGGTGCATAGGGTGCGGGTAGTAGTAGTAGTAGTAGTAGTAGTAGTAGTAGTAGTAGTAGTAGTAGTAGTAGTAGTAGTAGTAGTAGTAGTAGTAGTAGTAGTAGTAGTAGTAGTATAGTAGTAGTAGTAGTAGTAGTAGTAGTAGTAGTAGTAGTAGTAGTAGTAGTAGTAGTAGTAGTAGTAGTAGTAGTAGTAGTGGTAATAGCACGGTAGTAGCTGCGATGCATCCTTTATTCTTTGATTGAATTGATTCATGGGGGCAGAAACACCATTCTGCGCATGCTGCAAGATGTGCTCAATGAAATCACGGCATCGACTGCGAGCGAATCTTGACCCGACTCCAATTCGGGGTGATTCTCGTGCATCTTGAATCCTAAGCAGATACTGCATTGTATTAGCACCGACATATGGCATATCATTATGAGACGTTCCAGTTCCAATAACTTTGCAGCCGACTCGACATCATTAATTCAGAATTCAGATGATGGTCGTGTAACATCCGCCATGCCTGGCGATGACTCTGGAGCAGTTGTTCCAGCTGCCAGGCGACTGTTCCTGGCTGTACAGGACGTGGCTCGTCATATAGCTCGAGGGCCAGAGCTACATCAGCAGCCACCCAAACATCCGAAACACAGTGTGTGTGCTTTGGCTAGAGCAGGCCAGGACTGTGATGTTGAGAAAGCGCAGAGTCTGGTCCGTCAGTGCAAGCCTGACCAGGCAAGGACAAGAAGAATGCATCGGTGCGATTCCAGTCTTTCATGGATCGGTTCAGGAGTGTGGCTTAGTGCGCTGTGATTTGGTCTCGTTAGATATCCTTCGTCGTTCATTGGACATGGTGCATTTGCTCGCTTCTGCAGGAGCCGCATACAGAGGGTCAACCAGGAGCATGCGGTGCATCAGCGGGACGTCATCAATGTGGATGCAGGTGGCAAAGCGACGGAGAAGATACAGGGGAGAGGCGGGATATCTCGAATTCGCGATTGTGTGATAGATTAATAGATAACTAGGAGCTTGCGGCCATTCTGGACAATCGCTGTGTGATTTGAGAATAATTGAGCTGACTCGAGCTGACTTTACAATTCCTCTACAATCGACAGGCAAGTACAAAACATGGACTTCGGCCGCCATCCTCCGCGTGTCGTTCGGGCCCCATACAGTTGTCCAGTCAGCTCACTAAGATATTATTGTGATGCGGCGGTAGCGGCTGTACAATTTTGCGAATCCCATTCAATCAGTGTTGCTGATGTCCAGGTTGGGCAAGTCGACAGCCAAGATTTTGCGTGTCGGCAAGGATGGTACACCAGTGCTTCCGAAGTTGCTCAGCAAATCGCCAACAATGCATCCTGCTGGCACGTTGGTACCTAGAGTTCTGGATACTCCCGATAATCCCAGTACTTTCCTGGCTACAAGACCAACATGATATTAACGTAACGTAACGGAATGATATTTATTCTATCATATGGATAGATCATCATTGAAAATTGAAAACAATCCTTTGTCACCTGGCAATTGCTATCGCGTCTGCCTCCCCAGGTTTTCCTTGAACAGTTTGGCATTTTGGATGGGCGTGGGCACCGACAGCATTTCGAAGGCCTGCCTTTCTGGGATTGGTTGGAGTTCAGTTCACGACGAGTCTATTTGGTTGATTGGTGATTGGTCGAGTGAGTTGAATAGTTGAATGAGCATCGCGAGCTGTCTCTCAAGCGAAAACGAAGCTAAACTTAACTAACAAAACCAAAGGCACGGAATGCGCTCTGCCACTTCTACCTGGGGGAGCAGAAACGCGGCTTCATCGAGCAGACATCTTCGAGGGACCAAACTGGCGAATGAATCCAGTCACGACTCTTAAACCAACTTATGCAAACATTGTGCTGTCTTTTAGCAGGAGCAACCGTGTGCGGTCATCGGCTATCACATCGAGTTCGATGAGACCGGCCAGTGTCTTCGTCTTCGGAATGAACAGTCTAGCGCCGAGACCAACACGACTCTTTCTGTCATGGTACCTTGCTAGCACTTTTGGAGATTCAGGATGGACATGACATTTCCGGGTTTCATGCTACACCGCCACAGACTGCCACACCAGTTTGTCTCTAAACAGGTGGGTCAGCCAAGGTGTCGCGGGTTACCCTGCTAGCCACTGATGCGACGGGGCACAGGACCAATTGTAAATTTGTGCCCACCTTAGCAAGCTTCAGATTCTGAATTGAGAGACAGAACATTAGACAAAACCAACACAGCAATAAGCCAGAACCGTGAGGTGGTGAACCCGCCAGCTGTGTTGCAGCGGAAGACGGCAGCGGCACTGTGGGAAGCCATTGAGAAGACACAGCCGGTGCCACCGCTGAGTGCTTTCGCAGCACTGTATGTGTCTTTTCGTGTCGGTTGTGTCACTTCATGGTGATCGAGTGATCGGTAACACCGTGAGTCCAGAGTGTCCAGGGTTCAGAGTTGTCAATAGCCTAGGCTTGGCAACTCAGTGCAAGCTGATGGTCGAGTGCTTTGTGTGCGATTCAGCGTCGGCTAACTTGCGCATGATCTACGATGTCGGTGACCGATGCCCTTCCAATGTGCTGGCCCGCCTGCTGCGATTATGTTCAACTTGCATTCTGTTAGAGTCGGTCTAGTTGTGGGAGTTGCATCGTGAAGCTTCAGCGTGTCAGTATGGCGCGACAGGTGATGAGCCAACGATGCATGATGCGACTCGCCTTTCAAATGGCTTTCAGTGTGTTAACTGTTAGCCTAACAGGGTACTGTTATGCGTTTACAGTTGGCACTGCGTGCGAGGCATCAAGCGAATTTGACATCGGAGATCCTGTGGAAAACGATGGATATCCTGCCGGATTTGCCCCTAAACCGCATCCGAGTCAGACTCCATTCTATCATCAGTTGGCTATCGTTGTGAGTTGTGGCCAACTTACTAAGGTTTTGCTTCGCGTCACTCCTGGGGCAGGGGAGCCTGTTCTACGAGCTGTTGGTGCATTCTCGCCAGCTTATCGAACAAGAACTGGTGATATCATATCGTCCGTCTTGAACTTAGCGTGCTTGCTTGATGAGTTGATGCCGT